ATAACATTTAATGAAATATAATATAATATTAAATAAATAAATATATACAGTATTATAAGTAGATTTTTAAATAAAAAAATTAATTATATAATAATATGTCATATTATATGTTTATAATATCATATGATATTGCAACTATAATATTTTTGTTATCATAATAAAAAAAAATCCCCCTTTAAGTTGCAATTTGCTGCAACAATCTCTTAATCCAACGGTTTTGAGCAGTTGGATCAAAGGACGATTTCCTTTTTTTTTTTTTTCCTTTTAAATTTCAATTCAAAAATTTTTTATTTTAATTTATAAAATATGAGTTGAATAAAATAATATTAGTGTAAATTTTAAAAAAGTTTTATGCATTTGAAGGGAAGTGTTTTATTAAACATTCTACTTAAAAATTAAATATATAAAAATATAAATTTATATAAAATAATATTAATTATAATAGTATCACAATAAAATAAATTTTTTTATTATTTTTCATTGTACATACACTTAACAATATGCATGGTTAGTCATTATTAAACATTATTTGTCAAAAATATCATCTGAATAGCTAATTCAAACATCTAAATAGCTCTACCTTATGTCATATTTTGTTTTCTCACAACTGCATCACTAGGGCAGTGTTATTGCCTTTTTCACACCCATAATTATTAATTTTATAGATTTGTATTTTAATTAATTATTCTACACTTTAATTTATTAAAAAATAAAAATATAAAACTATAAAAAAAAGTGTAGCATAAAAAATAAAGTAATAATTAATTAAGCAAAAAAATGTGATATTAACCATTGCCTATAAGGGAAAAAACACCTGGCAAAGGAGGTTGAGAAAAAAAAGTCCTTTCTTTGTTTTTTAATTTCAATTCCTTTATTTCTTACTAATACTAAAGGGAAGAAAATAAAAAAAATACCATGGCCCCCCTCTTTTTAAATTCATATTAATAATAATAGTGAACAGTACATCTTTAATCTTTAATCAATAAAATTATAATATTTTAAAAAATTATAATTTAATTAATTAAAATATCTATTCTCAAACAAAAACACATGCTTGATTTCATCCAAAACATTAATAAAAAATAAATAAATCAGACTGAAATAAATAAATCAGATAAACTTTCTGCTCTTCCAATTTCTCCCATTATCTACTCCTCTAATTACAATACAACCGCTTCACCAGACAAACCAAGAACAGAATCATCGTCTCATCATCACCAACGCCTCGATCTCACTGTCACTCTAGACACGGTGAAAAAGGCACCGGACTCAATAAAGAGCCACTTTAAGAGGTTGGGAGGCTGCAACTTTTGGATTCTTGTTCAAAGTTCACACCTTTATGTGAATTTCTCAAGGTACTTGGATTCTCCCTCAATTTCAGCTCCTGGGTATTCGTTAGAGATCTGAATTAGCTTCTGGGTATGTTGAAGATCTTAAAAATCATCATTTTTCAGCCCTGGGGTTGTTGATTTTCGTGTGGAACTTCGTGGGTCTGAATGGTATTGGAATTCATTCTGTTTTTTGATTTTTTTTTTTTTTTTTTTTCTTTTTGGCCATGTTAGAATTTGACCTTCAAAAGCCTGTATCAAACTGTAAAGTACCTCAAACCCCATAACAAGATCACATCACAGTGACAAAATAACTGCCAAGTATCTCAGCTCCTAATATCCCTAAATGGACACCACTTTCATTAAAATTGACAAAGTATGTCTTAAACCCTACCCCATCAACCATAGTTCAGCAGCAAATGCAGGATCTCAAAATTGAGATCACTATGAATAGAATATCAAATGCTGCTCTTCACAACCCAATCACACATCCATATAAGCCAAAAAAGGAAAAAGATTGAAAGGATAGACATTTATCCAGTTATTCTTAAGACAGTGAAAACCCCAGAAAATTAATAGAAACAGTGAATAGAACTTAAATGTCCAACAAATATTTATGCCATCAATAAACAAACACATTTCAATCTCAGAAACTATCAATGAAGTTTATACATAGAAAATTATAAAACAAGTGTTAGTACTACTAATTGAATATAATGATGCCAGGACAAATGTAACTGGGAGCTAGTTTTTCAGCATCTAAACTTGCAAGCAAACATAGCCAAATTTGTAAAGCAATTGCAAACCAGTAATTCATCAATTCAGTAATGTCTACTGCAATTCAGCAAACCAGCAAACCACTTACTAAGACAGCAATTCAGCAAACTAAAGAACAAAACAGAAATACTGCAAACTACTGAAGTCTTATTACATAAACCAATGGGCAATGTCTACTACAGAAACAGCCAACCTACACTCTTCATCCTTCAAGACAAACAAAACTAAGCAACTTTGCTGAACTTCGTCTGTAACTCAACCACGCAGCAACCAGCCAAAAAACTTTCAAAACTCAGTAAAATATAGGAACTCAGACAGCGAAAACAGCAAAAACATGTTTTGTTGTACAAATTACCTAAATTTGCTTCCTTTTCATATTGACCTAGTAAATCCAAAGCAAGACAAATTAGATTGGTTTATACTCTGGACCATAGAAACAGCTTTGAAAACAGGGGCGTGCAAAATTCAGCAATTCAAAGAAAAAAAAAAAAAAGAGAAACAGGAAACATAATTGATAGATTTATGAATCAAGAAGAAGCCAAAAATCAAAGCACAGAACCCAGATAAACAGCGGCATGCATTTTGAAGCCCAGAATCAAGAAAAAACCCAAGAAATCAAAAAACTAAGAAACATGGAAACAGAAACAGATTTGAGGGCATACAAAAACTGAGAAAATTTAAAGGGAAGTTTCACTTACAAGTTAGCCCAATCTCCAAGAGGATCTAGTAGCAGAGAAGGGATGGATGCAGGTTGGAGCGCCCTCGAGATAAATGGGTGAGGACTGAGGGATGGATCATCTAGGAGAAGGTGAAGAGGGGAAGGAAGAAAGAAGGAACGCACGCAGCACAGGAGAAGAAACGGTAGAAAGAAGGAACGAATCGTTGAGGAGACTGAGGAATGATGATGACTAAAATATCGATGGGAGATGATATGCAGGGCAGGGGACTCAGTCGGCAGCAGTGGAGGATAAAGAAGGAACTCTGAAACGAAGAACAGAAGGGCAAAATACCCGAATAGCACATGCAATTTAGCAATTCAGGTAAAATAACAGGGTAAGGTTGTGGCCACTAACAAGGTCACCGTAGGTATTTACTACAGAAGTTAATAAATTACTTAGAATAAGCTAGCAAACTCATATTCAAG